AGGGCTGCAGCTGGAACGCAAGTCGGGGTGGAAACCACTGCTCCTCCTCTCCCCCCCCCCATCAAAGCCCCGTGCAATCCCAGTTGGGCTGCCACAGGGAGGGGCTGGACTCCGCTGGGGGGGCGCAAAGCAGAAGCTAAGGTGGCCTAGCAGGCCTCAGAACTCCTTTGCAGCCCGGGGTCTTCTGGAACCAAATGCCCACCATTGCCCCTGCGCCTGGGTTGGGCACACGGCGACGCCGACAACAACACTGCCGGCTAGTTCCGCCCAGCAGGACCGCTGAGCTGCAGCCCCCAGCCGTGGGCCCCGTCCAAACTCAGCCATCGCTGCACAGCCCAGCTGAGACGTGGGGGGCGGGAGCTCAGCCTGCTCTGCGGTTCCGGGGTGGGGTCCCACTGGGTCCTACCCTGTGCAGAGCCCCCTTTCCTGGGTCCAGATACTGCTCTGCACAAGGCTCCTGAGGCCAGCCTGCCCGCTCACTCTTCCTGGGCCCGAGGGGGGGGCAAGAGGGCCCGCAGAGCCCGACAGTCCCCCCCTCCCCCTCGGCCGCTGAAACCCGACACTCCGAGGCGGAATCGGTGGATGAGCCGAGGCTTCCTCTCCCTGCAGCTTGTCCAGGGCTGGCTGGGGGCCAGATTCCATCTCTTCCTTGTGGAGGGAGAGCAGCCAGCGGGTGGATCAGGCTCACATCCTGTGCACGCCCAAAGCAAGCAGGGGCCGGACTCCCAAAGGGGGCAAGGCGGGGGCTGCCTGGCGGCCTGGCTCGGGGCCCCTCTGGGCCGCTGCCCTCCCCCAGCAGCAGTCGGCCAGAAGCCACAGGCGGAACACATGGGTGCCATTCCTCCCAGGACAGAGCCCCCCCCCCGCCTTCAACGAGGGAGGCTACGTCTCCCTTTTTAAGGACAGCCACTGACAGAGCAGGGTCCATGGCGGCCTGGGATCTGGGGCTGGGGGCCTTGGAAGCCCCCTGGGACACCCTCGCTTCTCTCTCAACTGACTTCCAGCAAGGCCTGGAGCTCTTCAGCTGCAAAACCACCCCTGCCTTGTCACCCTGCCTTGTCACCCCGCCTCCTCCCGCAGGGCTCTTCAGGGCGCCCGCGTCCTCTGCAGCCTGCCTCGCCCAGGGGCACACAGAGAGGGGTCCGCGGCTTCCCCTAGGAGGAGCTTCGGCCGCCCAAGTTCTCCCTCCCAGGCCACAGGAGGGCTGCCCAGCTCCCAGCTCCTATCCCTCACGTGACCCCTCCACAAATTTACATAATCCTCGCCAATGTGCAGGGCTTGCCTTTGTCTGGGCAACACACACAGAGGGCGCAGGGCCTGCCAGGCCGAACAGTGTGTGTGTGTGGGGGGCTGGGCATCTCTCCTCGGTGGGACAGCAAAAGAACCCCTGCAGGGCAGACGGACCGGCAGCGGGACAAAAGCTGAGGGCCTGTCGGCATCCGTGCCGCTAGTCTGCCACGAAGACCCAGGCCCGCCTCCCCTCCCCTCCCCTCCCGGCTCACCTGTTCTCCAGGTCCGGCATGCTCAGGTTCCGCAATGTGCAGGGCTTGCCTTTGTCTGGGCAACACACACAGAGGGCGCAGGGCCTGCCAGGCCGAACAGTGTGTGTGTGTGGGGGGCTGGGCATCTCTCCTCGGTGGGACAGCAAAAGAACCCCTGCAGGGCAGACGGACCGGCAGTGGGACAAAAGCTGAGGGCCTGTCGGCGATGCCGCTAGTCTGCCACGAAGACCCAGACCCGCCTCGCCTCGCCTCCCCTCCCGGCTCACCTGTTCTCCAGGTCCGGCATGCTCAGGTTCCGGGCAGCGTAGCACATCTTCAGGGGGATCACTTTGCGGTCCTTGGCCAGGCTGAAGTGCTTCGGGGAGCCGGAGTCCTCGCTGCTGCTGAGGCTGGGCGACTGGGGAGCGGCCCCCTCCCACGGCAGGTCTGAGACCAGCGAAAGCTTCCTGATGTAGGGGGTGGCCTCCCGCATGTACTTCACTAGGAGCACAGTCAAGGGGAGAGGCGTCGTTAGGGTGCACACGGGGGGCTGGGGGGGGGCCCTACAGCAGCAATGATCACGCTGATCTCCCAGCGCTGTGAAGGCCTCTGAGAGTCCAGCGGCCAGGAGACGTGGCCACAGAGGAAACCAAAAGGACAAAGGGCCACTGGGGTCAAGGGGCACCTTGGACACAACGAGGACAACCAACCTGAGACCAGCGACAGCTTCCTGATGTAGGGGGTGGCCTCCCGCATGTACTTCACTAGGAGCACAGTCAAGGGGAGAGGCGTCGTTAGGGTGCGCACGGGGGGGAGCCCCTACAGCAGCAATGATCACGCTGCTCTCCCAGCGCTGTGAAGGCCCCTGAGAGTCCAGAGGAAACCAAAAGGACAAAGGGCCACCGGGGTCGAGGGGCACCTTGGGCACAACAAGGACAACCAATGCTTACTGGGGCAGGGGAAGAAGAAGAAGAGAAGAGATTGGATTTATGTCCCGCCCTTCACACAGAGTGGCTTACAAACTCCTTCCCCTTCCCCTCCCCACAACAGACACCCTGTGAGATAGGTGGGGCTGAGAGAGCTCTCTGGAAAACTGCCCTTGAGAGAACAGCTCTGAGAGAACTTGTGGCTTGCCCAAGGTCATCCAGCAGCTGCAAGTGGGGGAGTGGGGAATCAAACCCGGTTCTCCCAAATTAGAGTCCGCGCACTTAACCCACGACACCAAAGCATGGAGCTTCTCCGCTCGAAAGCTCCTGTGGGTCTCTAGGGTGCTGCTGGACTCAACGCTAGCTGTTCCGCTGACACCGCCTCCCCGCCAGGTGCTGACACTCAGCCCGCCTGTTGAGACAGAGCGCATTTCCTCTTCCCCCTCGTGCTGCCCAGGGGAAAGCGGCAAACACATTTATTCCACAGGAAAAAGGAATCTGTGCTGGAGCTCCACGCATCACAAGAAGACTCTTCCCCAACTGAAAACACGGCAGGGAAGGGCTGGTTCGGGGCCAGATTAAGCCTCACCCTCTCCGGCCCCTTCCCGCTCCAACGCTTGAGGGCCTGGGAAAGGCAAGCTGCAGGAAAGAGGAGGAAGCTGGCAGGCCCGGGTGCGTGGGTGGGAGGGGGCAGAAAGGGGACCTCCCGTCCCTGGGGCTGCAAGCCGGGTGCCAGGCACTGGTCGCTCAGGACGAGGGCATGGGCACAGAGTCCCGCCCAGTGGCTGCCGCCCCACAAATCTACCCCCAGGGATGCCTCTCAGCTCAGCATGGAAGCCTGCAGCCCCTGCCATTGGGCAGTTCAATCAATCAGCACCCCCTCTAGAAAGAGACTCTCCTCCCACAGGTCATGCAGGCGGAGTGGGGAGGGCATTCGCTTTTCCCTGGGGAGCCTCCCCACCTGCCCTGTGGCCCCCACCAAAGGCAGGCAGCCCCACCCCAAGACAGCCCAGCCAGGCTTTCAAGCTTGGCAAGCTTTGGGTACGTCGTAGGGCTGTCTTTCGGCTCTGCTCCTGCAAAGTGCAGGGGGTTGGACTAGATGACCTCCAAGGTCCCTTCCGACGCTAACATTATATGCGGCTGCCTGACACTGAATCAGACACACACACACACGCACGTCCACCAAGGTCAGTACTGCCGACTCAGAGCCCCAGCAGCTCTCCAGGGCCTCAGGCAGAAGAGGGTCTTTCCCATCACCACCTCCCTGGTCCTTTGAACCGGAGAGTCTGCCAGGGATTGAACTGGGATCTCCTGCACACTTAGTAGAGGCTCTTCCACTGAGCCACAGTCCGTAGTCTGACTGGTAGACGCTCTCCAGGATCTCAGGCAGAAGAAGGTCTTTCCCATCACCCACTGCCTGGTCCTTTTAACTGGAGATGCCGCCGGGGATTGAACCTGCGACCTTCTGCGTGCCAGGCAGAGGCTCTTCCACTGGGCCACGGCCAAGCACCTCCTTGGGAACAGGCCCAGCAGGGCATTCCCGCAGGCTGGCTGAGCCCTCTTCCAGCCTACAAGCCAGGATGCAGCCACTGTGTGTGTGGGTGTGTGTGTGTGGCTGGACAATTCCAACCCCGCTCCCAAAGTCTGCCCAGCAGCTGGGTATCCACAAACCACTAATTCTCCCTGACACTGCCGGGCTACGACAGTCTCGCAGCACCATCGACTCTGGGATTTCTGCTCTTCTGCAGGAGCCAGGCAGCATTCGCACTCAGAGCCAGAAGTCCACACCCCAGGCCCCCCTCCCTCCAGCTTGCCTGGCCAGGTATGCGCTCGGCTCCTATGAAGGCAAACGGCGCCAGGCTGGCACCCCTCAGCCACGGGGGAAGCAAGGCCCCAAGGAGGCTAGGGCTTCCCTGTCACGGCAGACCCTCCCCAAGGGACCCCTTCCTGCATCCCGACCTCCCCAGTTCCTTTGCATCACAGACCCCCCCCCCCGTTACACAGGAGCTGCCCCCGCCAAGGACCTGCCCAGAGAAGGAGGCTGTGAGGAGGAGAGGTTCAGGTGGCTTCCAATGCTGCAGGCAAGACCCCCAACACAGAGAGGCAACCTGTCCCATTTGAGAGCCCGCATCACACACATCACCAGGAGCCCAAGGGGAAGGGGGGGAGCAGCACCACAAAGGCTGGACTGAAGCCAGCCCCCTCCCCAAGAGAGCCAACCCCTTCGGGTGCCAGCGCCACCCGTTCAATACACGCCACCTTCTGCCAATGCTGCAGCCCTGCTCTCTAGGCTGAGCCTGCCTGGCACCGCTCCGTCCAAGCCAGGCACGGCAGGGAGAACAGAAAAATCCCTTTCCAAGGACGGAGGCTGGGCAGCGGAGGCCCTGGGAGACAGGCTGCCCACATTCCGCAGGCCTCTATACCGCTTGGTGAAGGGCAGACGGTTCTCGGCTTCCTGAAAAGCAGGACCTGCTCTGCTGACCTTCAACCCCACTCCCTCACCTGACATAAGAACAGCCCTGCTGGGGCAGAGCAGTGATCCCGTCTCACACAGTGCCCAACCAGTTCCTCTGGACGGCCAACAACAGGGCATGGAGGCTGAGGCCTACCCCGATAAGAACCCCAGTGGTCCATCCAGTCCAGCATCCCGTCTCACACAGTGCCCAACCAGTTCCTCTGGACGGCCAACAACGGGGCACGGAGGCTGAGGCCTACCCCGATAAGAACCCCAGTGGTCCATCCAGTCCGGCATCCCGTCTCACACAGTGCCCAGCCAGTTCCTCTGGACAACTAACAGGACTCAGAGGCCGAGGCCTTCCCCTGATGTGGCCTCCTGGCTCTGGGATTCAGAGGCTGACTGCCTCTAAACATGGAGGTTCCCCTCAGCCACCATGGCTAGTAATCACTAATATCCTCCATGAATCTATCTAATCCCCTTTGAAAGCCGTTTATTCCTGTGGCCGTCACGACACCCCCTGGCAGTGCATTCCACATCCGAATCACTCTCTGACCACGCAAGGGGGTTTCCATGGCACCCTGCAGTGCCAAAGTCCGGAACTGCTGTGTCTGATAAAGGGAGCGTTTGACTCTCGGAGGCTGGCACCGTGAAGCTCCGGTTGGCCTCTCAGGTGCGCTTGGACTCTGATCTAGCTGGGCTACTGCAGGCCAGCATGGCTCACCTCTGGAACCAGCACATTTCCTCGCAGCGAGAGAGACACGTGCAGAGAGAGGGCCACGGGACAGAATCAGAAAAGAGGGCGGGGGCATGAAACCCTGGGAGCTCAGCTGCCCTCGGGCACAAAAAAGGGCACAGAGGGCTTGCCCAGCGCTCGTGGCTGGAGTGGGCTCCTGTGGAAAGACCCGGGCCTCGCCCCCCCGGGGGGGGGCCCCCCCCCCCCCCGGTTACATAACCAGCTGTCCTCTGGTCTACCTCCGGAGCAAGTCCGCTCAAAGGAAATGCCTTCTCCGTTTCCTCTGGCAAGTGTAAAACGATCCCTATTAAATTGTGGGCACGAGTTTGAAATAGCCGAGATCGGCTTGCAGCCTGAATCTGGAGGCATGACCCGCCCCAGGCGGAAGCCAGGGACCCGCTTTGGCCGTCTCCATTCCAGGTGGCTGCGTGAACCCGTCGGGTCTTCCTGACCTTCATTATCTCATCAAAGCCCCAAAGACAAGGAGTAGGTGGCTAAAAACCTCAAGACAAACAACAGGCACTTCTTCAAAACCAGACAGGGATTACCAAGAAACAAAAGGGCTGCTTGAGGACAGGGAAATGGCAGAGAAACGGCATGGATTCTTGGTGCCAGTTTGCACGGCAGACAATGTAAGCACACCCTCCTATAGGGGCCACTGTTTTTGCAGAGGGCATCCAAAGAACTGGGTGAAATTGTGGTGATGAGAGATGAGGTTCCAGGTCTATCATGGAAATGGAAAACCAGTAGCTCTGGATGGCTTACAACCAAGAGTTTTGGGGAAATCCAATGTGGAAATATTGGTCTACTAACCAGTGTCCTGGATCCAAGCACATTAGGAAAACTTAAGGGGCAGCTGTTTTTACTTATTCCCCCTTCCCCCTATAGACCACCAACCCCAGCTATATTGCTCATGAAGGTCCCGTGATGGCCCAGAACACAGAATCATCACTGAGTTTTGGAGGGACCATACAGGCCATCTAGCCCAACCCCCGGCTCAATGCAGGATCAAGCAAACAAATGTTTGTCCAGCCGCTGCTTAAAGACTGCCAGGGAGGGGGAGCTCACCACCTCCCTAGGTAGCTGACAGAATTTCAGGGGTCTAAGTGAGCTACTGTGGGAGTGACCAGTCAGTGAAATCTGCCACCCTCTCTTTAAGAACACTTACAGGCTCTTAAGTTCCCTTAACTTCATGGTGGGAGCCAAGCCAGTCTCCGTCACCTCATCGAAACCAGCCTCTGTGCTGGATGACTGGCAGCCTTGATTTTTAAAAAGGCATCCAGAAGGGATCCAGGGAATTAAAGTCAAATTATCCTAACATCTGCCCCAGGTAGATGGGCAGAAACTTATTAAAGACAGAATCATTAAGCACACTGAGGGACAAGGCCTGCTGAGGGAAAACCAGCTTGGCTTCTGCAAAGGGCTGGAGTTCTTCAAGCAGGCTAACAAGGCACGTGGACGAGGGTGATCAAATAGAGACCACACCCTTGTACTTGTAAAAAGCTTTCAACAAAGTACCAAAGACCCCTCTGTACGCTTAGCAATTGTGAGATGAGAGGACAGGTCATTGTTTAAGCAACAGGGAACCAAGAGCAGGAATAAATGGACAGTTCTTGCAATGGAGGGAAGCGAGCCGTGGCCTCCCAA